GAATTAATGGTAGTGACAGTGGAAAACGTGGGAACGCCAGAAAAAAACAGGAAAATTCTCGTTACGGTCGTGGAAGGGCAGGGCTTTGTCGAGGTCCTAAAAAAGATGAAGACTGATTTAAGACCGAAAGAGGACGAGATCACAATCAAAGGAGTCACTACGATCAAAAAAGGGAGATCTTTTGCTTAAAATTAAAGAATCATAGGACAGGGAGGCCCTGGTTAAGAGTATAGCTAAGACCGTTAAAGGGCTAGGATCCATAAAAACAGTCAAGAAAAGGGTAACGCTCGCAATCTGGGATCTGGATTCTATTACCGAGAAGACTGACGTCAAACGTGCATTAAGTAGAATCCCTGGTTGCTCGCTACAGATGAGAACAATGATGCTCCTAGGAAAGAATAAAAAAGGGCAGGAGGTAGCTTTGGTGAATACTGGAGAGACTGATGCCAGATATATAAAAGAAATGAAGAGGCTGCTAATAGGCTATGCTTTTGATGTGGCAGCTGCAATCACCGTAAAAAAGGTTACAAGGAGGAGGCCTAACGTTTCACTTGCGGAACAGAAGGTGCCAAATATGGAACAGGTAGCGGCAACTTCCCAGCATTTAGAAAGGCATTAGAAAAGGCCGAAAGTAAGGTGACTACGATGCACAGATACAGTTTTAGAGGATGGAAGCTAGATAACCATTGCAGACCCAAGCAGCGCTGACTTACTCGAGCCATCAGCAAGGGGATGCAACGAAAATCGATGATTCTGCAAAATAGAAGACGACCCGACGAAATAAAGAGAATGCAAAATCATGAGGGTAACGACATTTCGATGGAAAGCCACGTCTATAGTCAATTGGCTTGTGGTGCCCTAGAAAATCAGCAATTCCGTTACCCGTGTTGCAGGCAGGAGTACAAATTCTCTTGACATATCTAAGTCAGGAAAAGGAAGAAGGGCCATGACTTTCGTTTTCCATTACATTTAAAAAAGTAACAAAATTTAATCAGATTACAAATTAGGCTATTGCAGTTGGTTTATGAAATCACTAGCATTATAAAAAGGGGTTAATCGGTAAATCATGCATCTGTGAACATGAACGGTAAAAGTTGGATAATTTTTCACAAGTTAACAAAGTTGCTTTGCTAGATCAACTGTAGTTAATACTTCTATCGGTTATGTTATGCTGTTGCTTGCTACCAGAGTAGCACGTATGGGTTTTTTGTGTCTTAACTATATGTAACAATTCTAGCATTTAATATTATTTTTGCTTGATCTTAATCTGTATGTATTAAAGTTGTTCTAAAATTAATATAATATCTCAGTGCAGATGTTTCGTGTTAAACTTTTGCATCTATTGGTTTTTACAATTATTTTATTTCTCTGCATTGGAAAGTATTTCGTTAGGTTTGTATTTTTGGTCAGTATAGGCTGGCGTGCATGTGCATGAATCATAGTTGTACATTGTGCTGCAGCTACAAGCAAACTTGCAGGTGATTCACCTCTTTTTAGATGAATGTTGGTCTTTGCTCAAAATGCTTCTGAATCATCATGGAAAATTCCGAAGGAATGAGGGGAAAAAAAGAATTAGCAAACGTATTAATGATAATTTATCGACATTAAAAATCTATTCCGAAAGTTAAACTTTTTTAAAATTATATTTTGCTATCTCCTAACTATCAGGTCATTATTAAGTGTCACTAAAGTGTCTAACAGTAGATTATATGTAACAAAAACTAAATGTACATACGTATACAATTTACCGAATTTCCTAATACGTGGTTTTGTCGCCAATTTTTATATTGTATAAAGTGGATTAAGGCAAAATCTATCGTCATTTGAGCTGATTTTATAATTAATTCTTGCAAGAGATAAAGGAAATTGAGTTAACATATTTTTTTTTATTGGCCTAAAGAGTGTGAGTTGAACCATTCTGACGTATTTGAACTTGATAAATGGGAGAAAGAGCCTCGATGTATGATATCTGGAGCTTTTTGGAACCTTTTTTTTTAAGCCTTGTCTATTTCCTTGTTTTTATTCTCTCACTTATTATACTTCAATTTCAAATATGGTGTAGTTTCAATAATTTGTTCGAATACTTGATAAATAAAAAATATGAAAAATATTTTAATTAAAACAACTTTCTAGGCTAATAATATTTCTAACATCATGCTTCTATACCTGTCACACACATTTCACACGCATTCGTAGTTGCGTATAAAATACCCACAGTATATAAAATTGAAAGAAGAGCTTAAAATTGACGGAAAACCGTATTTATTGATTGATGTTTATTGAATTATATAGAATGAGTGATTTACGTATTGTCAATGATATGTACTGCAAACTTAATGATAGTGTATGTATGGTAAGTAATTAAAAATAAAATTAACTGTATTGTTTCTTACATGTTTAATTCAAAAACAAAAATGTCAATGGACAATGTAATTTTATAAAAAAATCATGTTAAATTACATTAATAAGGAAATCATTTGTAGAAAATTTTCAACATTCTTTTGCATGATAGAATCTTAGTAACTTAAGATACTTAGTTTTCAAAAAGATCCAAAAGTTTTTTAGTAAAATACGACTTAAGGAGTTTATGCGTGAAAGTGTATGTGTATGTATATTTATATGAACAAATTATTGACAGTCTTGTTGCATACTAGCGCACTCCTAACCTTTCTGAATTATCACCCCACTAACTGTGACAATCGTCCTTAACTCCAAAAACTTACTTTAATCATGAATAAAAAAAATCATGAAAGAATAAGACGCCATAAAAATTATGTAATAGTTTGATAGGATCTTGGATAAATGAATCATTAGTTAAAAAAGGTGGAGAAAATTTTATACTGCTTGAAAAATTTTTGAAAAAAATTGAAATAATTAAACTTACGATTATTTTTTTACCCTTTTTAATATTAACAGTTTATGAAAATCTTATAAATTTTCACTAATACATTTTTTTTAAGTTTTAAAAAATTTTATTAAATTACGTATATTATTTATTATTA